ACCTCCCTCTCCTATCAAGGTGTCCTCAAACTCCAGAATGGTGCTGGCAGCACTCCCACCCTGGCTTAAAAAGGCTCCTGTGAGAGTCAGGCCCTCCTGCCACAGCTACCCAAAGCTCAGAACCTCAGATACCAGGAGCCAGGAGGTGGCGCAGGAAGCACCAGGCCTCTGATGCCAGCTGCCCTCTGGCAATCCCCTGGTGCCAGGTGCCCTCCCCACTGGCCCACCCCTGCCCCAGTCCCCACTAGGGTCGCTCACTCTTTGCTGTAGGTCCTGCAGGTCCTGTCCACTGCACAGTCCACAGTGAGAAGCTCACAGCAGTGTTTCTCTGTGGCTTCTTCAGGCTCTGGAGGCCTCTTCTTCACCCTTCGGGAATCCTCCAAACTCAAGGCAATTTCAGCATTCAAACACGGAGAACCACTGTGTGTAGAGGAGAGATCCTCCTACCCCTCCCCCACACACCACCCAGCGGACCCCACCGAGCGCAATCTTGGGTCAAGGGGCCCGAGGGTGGATGAGTGCGGCCAGCTGAGCACACCTTGTGGCAAGCGTGCACCCTTGGGTGGTCTTCACCCCAAAACCATTACCACAGCTGAGCCACACGGAGCAGGGAGAGGCAAGAAGAGTCCAGCAGGGGGCCCTCCGGAGCAGGTTTTGAGCAGTGCTGCCCAAGTCATCAAAATCAAGTGAAGCCAAAGGAGACACTTCCACTTAATCTGAATAAAGTACAAACTTTAGGTTTTTTGTTTGTTTGTTTTTTGTCTTTTTCGTTTTTATCGGTACCAGGGATCGAACTCACAACTGCCTGCTTGCAAGGCAGGCGCTTATGCCGCTGAGCTAAATCCCCAGCCCCACAAACTTTAGTTTTAAAAGATGCATTTAACCACACCATCAGAGCCACGTTTTGCTGTTGGAAAAGGGAACCAGCTCGCAGATGTGGTGGCGCACGTCTGCACTTCAAGCTCCGCAGCCTAAACTAAATAGCGAGATCTTGTCTCCAAAAAGAAAAAAAAAAAAAAAAAAAAAAAAAGCCAGCACTTGGGAGGCTGAGGCAAGAGGAGCACCTCGAGTTCAAGGCCAGCCAGAGTCTCAAAACAAAGAAAGAGAAAAAAAAATAAACCAAGTTGCTGAAAAGCAACTCAAATTTCCAACACCCTAAGGATTTTTTTCAAAGTTTCTTTGCACCTGCGCCTCTGAATTTTGTGTACAAACAGGCTTTTCTCTGGCGCTCTCTTAGTTAAAACTTTTACAGACTTACACTTTACCCCCGTCCTTGAGGAATCTGTTGCAAAACATCACAGTTCCAAGTAATTTTTATGTTGTTTTCAGTGCAATGATCACTTCACGAACTGAATTTTTTTTTAGCACTGGTTTTTAGTAAATTAGCTCCTGGCAATTTGCTTTTCAGAGAACTGACCCTGAAAGCTGCTGGCCCAACACTTCTCCAGAACGTCTCCAAAAATCCCCCATGGAAAGGCCTGCCACCTCTTTCTACCCCAGGCAGCGCTCCTGGGCACGACGCAGCAGGACTGGTCAGGATCCTCCGGGTGCTGGCAGAATTCTTGAACTCCTCAGCCATACAACTAATTTTTTTTAACATGAAATACAGAAAACTCCTCTCTATTTCAGAGAGAGACGCTAAAACGGATTTCCAAGTGTTCGATTAACAACCATCTGTCAACCAGATGAGCAGAACTGCCAGGCAGCCTAGTAGAGTGCAGGTGTGTCTGGATGATTGACAAGTGGGCCACAGACTGAGGGTGGCACCAACCAATTAAGCATGCAGTCTGGGCAGAATGAGAGGGAAGTGAGGCGATCTTTCCTCTTTTGGGGGCCCTCCAGGCTTCCCTACCTGTTGCCTTGAGACATTGATCTCTAGGACCTGCTGCTTCCAGCCCTGACTCAAACTCTCACTCGTGACTCTGCTGCAAGCTTCCCGCCCTTGACTTTCCACCGCCCCGGGTCCTCCCACCCTCCCGTGCCCTCATGGATCTTCCATATCTGATCTGGCCAAGGGCCCTTGGGCTCTTGTACTTTTAAGCCTGTGAGCGTCCCTCATGAACCCCTTGCGTAATCGCACATATATGTCACACTAGATGTGTTTCTATGGAGAATCCTATCTAATACACCAAAGAAGGGTTCAACCTGGGGGTTTTTGAAACCTAAGAAATACCAGGAATTGCTGGATTCTGAGACGGGATGGAATAACTGAATTTACTCTAAATTCCTTCAAACTCACAACTTCCCCCACAGTCCCAACAGCCTGGGAAGATGGAAGGTCAATAGGAGCTGCATCCCCCGGAGGGTTACAGCTGATTGCTCCTGAATGTCCCTTTTGGGCTGGGCACTGAGATAAATGATTCATGTAATTAATTCTCACTTGATTCCTAGAAGAGTCTTCCAGAGGCGACAGATGAGGCCACCAAAGCAACCTGGCCAGAGGATGCCCAGAGGCTTAGCCACAGAGCCAGGCTCTGATCCCAGTTGGCTCTAGCTCTGAAGTCTGCGTCATCCTCAAGCCATTAAGCCAAGTGCCTCCATGTATTCCTCTGTTTAACCACGAGGAGAACTCTGCTAATTTAAAAGAAACTGTTACCTAGGTGTGGTGGTGCAGGCCTGTAATCCCAGTACTCGGGAGGCTGAGTCAGGAGGATCGTCACAGGTTCGAGACCAGCCTGGCCTACAAAGTGAGCTTAAGGTGCATAGAGAGACCCTGTCTCAAAAAATAAATAAATAAGTAAATAAATAAAACTTTTTAAGGAGAAAGGGAGGGCTACACTAGGATGGTTTGCAGTATGATTAATTTGACTCCCTCTCTCCCCTCCCATGGTGCAGTCTTGTGCGGCTTCTTGGCCTGCAGTGCACAGCAGAGGTGCAGTCAGATTGGGTGGTGTGGCTGATGGCATCGGAACTGAATGAAGCAGAAAGAAGCAAGGCCCCCTGGCCTACCCCCTCCACCAGCTCCTGCTGACCTGGGAGCCCTGCCCGTCCAGCCCTTGCCCTGCTCCAGCATGTGCTGTGGGGTGAGGGCCACACAGCAGTGGTGGGGTTTCCGGTAGCATCCTCCTCCTCTGTACCAGCCAACCTCTTGGGCCACAACTTGTGTGACTGCTCAGGTAGGCTGGGCGTTGGGCTTGGAGCAGCTGGGGAAGGAAGCTATTTCAACTTAGAACAGGAGGGTATCGGTCCAGGGTTTTCAGTCTTCTTGCCTTTGCAGCCTTGGAGGAAGAGCCAAGGCTCAGCGGGTAATTAGGGGGAATGGTCTGCCCCGCAGGGGAAGGAGGCGTGAACATTTCAGGCCCCAGGCCCTGCCCTGGCCCTCAGTGAAGCTGTCTGGAGGACTGAGGGGGCCCGGCTGCCCCTAACAGGAGGATGAGACCTGCTCCCTGCACATCCCAGGGCACAGCTGCCCCACTCCGAGGGTGGCCCACACCCTCACCCCACTGGCTGAAGCTGATGAGGAGGGGGCTGTCAGGTGCGCCCCCAGCTCCATCTGGCAGCTCCTCATGGCCCATCCCTGGCCTGCCTTCCTTGCTGTCTGTAAGGTAGCAGGATGGGTGCTCTCCCCAGCATTCCAGGGGGACAGTGGCCTTGGAAGGAATGAGCCTCCTGGGTTCCACTTCCCTGAGCAAACTCCTGCCTGCCCAGGCAGCTATTCACCCACTGCCCTCTGCTCCTATCAGGATGGCCAACGTGGCCTCTCCTGGCCTAGGAATTCTTCTGGGTGCCAGGACACAGGCCCATCTCCAACGCCACCTCCCGCCTCTGTCCTCAGCTGCCCACCAGGAATGGAAATGACTGGACTCTCTAGGCGAGGCACTCCTGGGAAGGCCAGGCAGGGCTGGGCCCTAAGGACTCAGCCTGGTCCCCATCGTCCTCCCAAATCCCCTGCACCGCTTCCTCTATGGCAGCAGGCCTGTGGCCAGCTGTGTCCTTCCCCACAGATGAGCCCTGGGTGAACGCTGCCTGTTTCGACCTTTGTGTCCCTCTGGTCTGGAAGAACACCTGAGGAAGTGGCAACAGTTACAATGGCAATATGGTGGATGTCACACACAGCACACCTCCTACCAGGCACTGCTGATGCCCACAAGCCTTCTTGGGTTTTCTCCTAATTCAGCGGAGGAAGAAACTCAAGCTCAGAGGAAGAACTTGGTAAGGCCTGTCACATGCAAGTGGAGGAGCTGGGATTGGAACAGAGATTGCTGCAGATGTGACCTCCCCCTCAGGCCTGGCTGAGCCCCCAGGTTTCCTCTCCCCGTGCTGTGCAGGCCTGAGAGGACATGCAGGATGTGACATTGGCCAGACTTGGGCACAGCCACTGTCTTCTGGGACCACCCCAAAGATGTGGCGAGGCTGGGCCAGGACCGGGCAGGGCAGGCTGCTGGGAGATCCCCCCTCCCATACCTGGACTTCGCACCTGTCCTAGGATGGCTCAGACCACACAGATCCCCAGGAGTTGCTTCCCCTCCCAGCTATGAGCCCCGGCAAGTCCCAGGGGTGCCTCCCCCCCCCACCTGCCACTCATGCTCCTGGCCAAAAGAAGTGTGAAGATCCCTGGGGCAGAAAGGCCCAGAGAAAGTACTGGGAATGGCTGTGCACGACTGTAATCCCAACCCTTTGGGAGACTGAGGCAGGAGAGTCACCACAAGTTTGAGGCCAGCCTGAACACCGAGACCTTGTCTCAATAAAATGTCAGGGAGGAAGACAGGCCCAGCCAAGGCAGCAGTGACTAGGAAAGATCTCAGGAGACCAAAGGCAAAGGGAAACACCAGCACCTCTTGGGACCCCAGCTGCAGCTGTGAAGAAGTTTGCTGGCCCCTAACTCCCTCCCAGCTCAGCTGCTGTGAATCCAGTGCTGACAGCAGGTCCTGATCCCTGACCTGCAGCTGCCGCCAGTAGCTCCCGTGGGGCCACAGCATCCCAGGGCCTCCACCACTGTGACAGCAGGGGCTGCTGCCCCCCTCCCCAGAGCCCCAGGAAGCAGCAGCTGGACACAGGAGTCAGGAACATATCGTCCTTTATTTGCGTTTCTCAGAATACTGTACAAAGGAAGTAAAAATCCTATTCACACTTTGCTTAGAAAGGTTTTAAGGTGAAGTTCCCTACGACGCACGGGGTGAGGTGGGCCAGGAGACAAAACCAGGGCGAGCAACTGTCCTCCCATCCCGGACCTGCCCCGACAAGTGAGGTGCCCTGGCCACAAGGCAGCGGACAGGGGCTCCTAGGCAGCCCAGGTTCAGGCTCCTCCTTTGGGCCACTCGACGCTTCTGCCATGCCCTACTTGGGCAGGGGTCTGGCAGCCCAGCGACCTGTGCTGGGTGGCTCCCTGACCCTGTGTGGGCACCATGCAGAAGCCCTGCCCCAGCACCTGTTCCCAGGAGAGTACAGGGTGTGGGGCTGAGCAGGGCCCCCACCATCATTTCTGCTGCAGCTTCCCCCATGTACAGCCCTCACACCGCCACAGAGGGTGGTAGCTCCCAGGCCACCTCCTCTGCCTGTCTACACTCCTCCCACCACCCAGGAGCCTCAAACCTGCCCAACTGCCACCTCCATTCCACCTGGAACAACCACCAGTCCACCATCCTCCCAAGCACAGCCCCTACAACCCCAAGGAGGACGCTGGGTCCTGCTCCCCACCCGACCCCTCCACACCCATCTGTGTGGCCCCCACTTCAAAGACAAAGACCCAGCTCGTTCCCCCCAGCTCACCCACTCCCTCTCCCAGCCTCCATCAGGACCTGATGGTGCAGCTCCTCCCCTCCCACCCTACCCAGGCCAGAGGTTGGCATTAGACTAGGGCTGGGCACCATCACACACTTCCTGCGATCTGTACAGAAACTCAGAGCACACCCCGAGACCGAGACCTCTGGGAACACATCCGGCAGCGTACCAGCCCTCACTCCCTGCTCAGGGGGTAAAGTGCTTTGGGGACACCATCGTGCAAGCTCTTCCTCGGGCTCCTGGCCCAAACTAGCGGGTCTGCGGTCAACCCGAGCCCAGCCCCTTCCCTGCCCACCCCATGGAGTCTCTACTCAAAAGGCAAAAAGAAAAGATCAAAAAATTCAGAAAGAGTTAGGGAGCCCAGGGCCCCCGCCAACCCCACTACAAGCTACTCCGAGTTGCTACTGGGGAAGTGAAGGGGACTTGGCCAGGGGCACTCGGCCCCGCAGCATCCCAGCTCCGCCTTCAGCATGGTGGCGAGGGCGTCTTCCTCCCTGCCCGCTCAGTACTTATTGATGCCAAAAATTCGAACTCCATGCAGCTGAGGCAACTTGGGAATGAGCACGCTCATCAGGGACGCAGTGTTGAGCACGAAGTGGACCTGGTCGTACTTGGTGTAGAAGCTGGTGAGAAAGTAGCTGCGGGGAGAGGGGGGGCAGCTGGAGGAGTGGGAGAGCCCCCCCTCCCCAGCCAAGAGGCCTCCCCCGAGCCAGCCACCTCCTCCACCCCCGTCTGCCCAGCGCTGCACCGAAGGCCAGGCTGGCACTCACAGCACAATGGGGGTGATGGTCAGGAACTTCCGGGAGGCCGTGAACTGGACCCCGTAGTCCATCTGCTCCCAGTGGGTCAGCAACCTGGCCTTACCCTGGTCCGGAGTCTCGAAGGGGGTCCCTTTCACTGTGTGCAAGAAGATGTACATGCCCTGGAGGGGAGGGGCTCCATTAGAGGACACAGAAAGCTCAGGGACCCAGCGTGGGGACGCACAATCACAATTCCAGGACTCTGGGAGGCTGGGACAGGAGAACTGGAAGTTCTTTGAACCCCAGGCTGGGCAACTCAGCCACTTGGGGACCTTGTCTCAAGACTTTAAATAAATAGCTGGATGTCAAAGCCCAGGCTTCAACCCCTCTATGCCATAAAAGGGCGAAAAGCCCTTGGGGGCTCCCAGCTCAACTTTTCTACCCAGGCATAGTGCCAGGTGACCTCTGGCCTCCTGCTAGGCAGCGGGCACAGGCCGGAGGTCAGGATGGAGCAACCAGGAGCCTGGCAAAGCAAGGGGACACGGGGCAGAGGGCAGGCCTGGTGTGCAGACACTGAAGAACAGGCACAGGGATGCCACCCCCAGCCCCACAGAGGATTCAGCCAGAGAGGGCAAGGAGACAAGAAAGGACCAGCGGTCCCCACCCCCAGAGAAGCAGCAGGTGGACAAGGACAGAGAAGGACAAGAGTGGAAGATGGCCTGACATGCATGAGGCAAGGCACCAGGAGTTCTAGGTGCTAGCGAACCTGGAGCCAGGACTCAGCACTCAGGGCCACGTCCCAAGGCTGGAGCCCCACCACTTCTGGAGACAGGGACCAACCTGCAGGTTTGATCCTTACTACAGATGTGTGTAGGGCTGGACGCCAGAGGGTGCCACCCGGCTGCCCACCCAGGCCTGGCAGGCGTTTCCCCCCCAGCCCCTGGCAAGGAATTGTGACTGGTGGCGGAGGCTCTCACCATGTTGTGGATGAGGTTGGTGAGGGTCCAGACGACAGGGACGCTTACAAAGGGGATGCTGAGCAACACGACATGGAGCAGTCCGATGGCCAGCACGTAGGACAGCCAGATACCACGACTGTTCATCACCCGCGTGTTAGGGTTCACCTCGCTGTGTGCTGTGCCCACATTCATCCTGCCGCCCCTCTGCTGCTGCTGTGCAGACAAGCAGTGCAGGTGAGACGGGTCTTGCCATGTGGAGTGGTCGGGCCTCTAAACACAGCAGGAAGCTGCAGGTGGGCCTGTGAACTTGGCGTTGGGCATTTCTGCTGCAAGGCTGGATTAACACAGGGCAGCCCTGTGCCCTCCCTTTCTCAGAGGATGAGTCACTGGGAGGGATCCCAGCCCCACTCCCTCCAGCACTCCTTTGAGGGGCACAAGGTCTGGCCTGGGGATTCTTGATCAGCATTACCTCCCCAACCCGCTCTCTAGGGAGTAAAAGGAGGCCAGGCCTGCAGACACAGGCTGCTGCAGTGGGTCCTGTGTTTGGGGGCACCACTCCCGCTCACCCATAATTCTCTAAGCCTTAGCTTTCCCCAGCCCAGGAGGGGGACAGGGAAGAAAGAGAGGGAGGAGGGGGAGCACAGCCAGGCAGGGTCAACCTCTGCTCAGACCTGGAAGGCGCCCTGTTGGTAACACACAGAAACAACCACATGGAGGCATTGCATCCACTCGGCAGTCACTCAGGCCAACCCTCCTGACACCACTAGTTCCGCTGCCAAACTGCCGCAACCCTGCCAGAGAGCAGGGAAGGGAGAGCAGAGGACAAGGCCCACACCCACTACTGGGCAGGTAGCTAGAGCGCTACCAACACCTCCTCCCAAGGAGAAGACACCCTGCCAGCGGCCACCCTGCTCCTCCCCTGGTCCCTGCCCTGCCTGTCCTCACCTGACCTCCGTTCCTAGCCCCAGGAGATAAGCCCCGTGGCATGAGAAACAGAAGGGCTGTGCTCGATGCCCAGGTTGCAATGATGGCAGACACTTAAGGGAGTAGAGGCTCAGAGAATGATCTGCCTCTCACCCCCAATCCCTGAGGGCCCCGCAGCCAGCAGGAGGCTGGATGAGAAGGTACCTGTGCACTGGCTCACGCACCAACCTGATAGGGTCCTGCCTGCTTAGAGTTCCCAGGGTGATCCTGATAGGGTCCTGCCTGCTTAGAGTTCCCAGGGTGATCACTGTGACAACAGCCCTTCTTTAGATGATGAGCACCCACCTTCACGCTGCTGCGGCCAGTCCCCCAGACCCAGTGGCTACCTCCCTCCGGTAGGATCTGGGCCCAGGCTGCAGAGGAGCCAGGCTTCTCAGGGGCCACTTCGTTCCTACTGGAACGTGGGAAAAACTTTCCTCTTCCCAGGTAGGTGTGATCCTGGGAAATGTGATCCACCTGGGAAATGTGATCCACCACATGTTTCCCAACAAGCACACACACACTAGCCTAGCCGCCTGCCTGAGAAGCCCTCCAGGTGCACTCTTTGGAAGTCATGCTCCTTGAGCCAGGCCCATTAAGCTGCGTAATTGGGCCTAACTGAAACCCAAGGATCTAGAAAATCAGCTGTTTACCTTCCTAGGGCCCCAGGGCTTCATTTACCCCAACACAGCCCCTGGGACACCTACTACGCAAAAGCTTCCAGCTGGAGGCAGCGCTGGGGCTGCCTGACCTGAGGCTCTGAAGAGGATACAATATAGTAAAGAACAAGAGCTCCCCAACTCTTACCAGAAACTGCTGCCCCCTTTTTTCCACAAGCCAGTCCTGCAGTGGTGTCAGTACAGAAAGACCTCTAGTCCTCCCTAGGATTCTGTCCCCGTGCTGTGCTGAATCACAAGACCCCACAGCCCTTCTCACTGTACTAGGGCAGCCAACAAAGCCTGATGAGTCGAGGAGGGATCTAGACTCAGGCCCTGGCTGCAGTCCTGGAAAGCTGCTTCCTGCACACGAAGGGGTCCCCCAAAAGAAAACATCAGCAAACTAAGAAAAAGACTGGCCGCCGTTCTGGCGCTCTTAAAACTTTCTTGTGACTATGGATACGCATCACTTCTAGTAGAAATCAACTGACCCTTCTCCCAGAAGTAGAGAAACGGGGTGAAAGAAGCTGGCAGAGGCAGACAGCTCCCCAGAGCAGCTGAGGCTGAAAAGTTTTGCTGCCACAGCTGGCAGGTGGCTGCCAGCACCTGCCCTTGATGCGGTTTCATAACCTGTCTCAAACCAGAGCCCGAAGCAGCTCTGTTCTCTTAACCACTTCTCTGCTGGTAGCTCTTATCCCTTCCTTCCTCCCCCCAGGCTCTACACATGAAAGTCCTGGCTCAACCAGTTGTGAGACACTCACACAAGGGCCAGAGAGAGCCCCGGGGCGACCACTAGGTGTTTCCCAGTCCTCCCTGCAGATAAGAGCAGTTCTTTCGCTCACTTACCGCCTTTCTGGGTGAGCCGCTCAACCATCCAGGCCCCGGAGACCCCGACAGGGAGTTCGCAGCGGCACCCCACGAAGCCACTTCCACTCAGTCTCCGTCCCCAACCTGCAGGCCCAGCTACAGCTGCTCACCTCTCCCCGGCCCAGCCTCCCAGACGCATGAGGAGGCGGAGGGGAAAGAAAGCGAAGCCTCGCAGACTCGGGGGCAGGGCGGCGAGCGAGGGGGCGGATCTTCGCTTTTGTTGCGATTTTCAGCGTGGGACGCCCCAGCACTCGGGTCCACTCCCCCAACTCCACGCAACCCCCAGGCCAGGAGAAAGCCGAGCCTCTACTTCCAAAACCCAGCCGCCCCGCTCCCCGCCCCCAGCCAGAGCGCTCCTCCTTCATCCCCGGCCTCCTCATCCCCTTTCCACGGTGGGCGACGCATCTCCGAGCCCCAGTTTCCCCAGCTCGCATGCCTCCCCAAAGCCTCTTCGCATTCTCCCCCGCTCCTCCTCCAGCCCTAGGGCCTCCCGTTTCCGCCACCTCAAAGACCGCCCGTCCAGACTCACCGCGCGGGGCTGGAGGTCGAGGGCCCGGGACGGTTTCCCGGGAGCAGGGACCGCGGCAGTCCTACCAGCTACAACCAACAGCGGCCGCGGCACCCTGCTGGCACCTATCACCGAATCAGCGCCCTGCGCCGGCCCCCTCGATGACGTCACGCCCCGCGCCAGCAGCGTAACACCTCCTGGGAGTTGTAGTTCTCTGTGGCCTTTGTACCCAAACCGTAGTGCACCTCTCGGGAGTTGTAGTTCTCTGCTTCCTCTGTGAACAGCGCCTCCAGGGAAACTCCCCAGATCTGACCTAGACTTCGGCTCTAGGCTTCGCTGGCGCCAGCGGGAGATTTTCCGTTGACACGATAGTGAGAGCCGGCGGTGTTACCTTGGCATGTAACAATTCCAGCTTTTGCGCCTGCGCCCTTGAAGTATGGTTTACCCCCCTCCCACCCAGCTTGCCAAGGTTTGCAGAGGAGGAAAGTTTTAAGTAACTTTCAGCAGATCGCTCCTGGAATGTTTTGACCCCAAGGCCAAGATTTTCTCCACTGTACCCCGCTTCCAAACCCCTGGGCTGAGGTCGGCAACTCTACAAACTAGCTCGCCCTGCTCTTTGTCCTGATGGACCTTCCTGGGATTGGATTTTCAGACGTTTTGCTGGGATGAAGGTTTGCAGGGCTGAGAACGGAGTCCAGAACTGACCTTCTCAGCCGCACCTGACGCAGGCTGACTTGGGCCCGGCTACAATTTGGATCTCCCTGCATCAGACATCAGAATGGGGCAGGCGGCAGAGAAACACCCTTGATGAACAGAAGCCTGAGCGTCTGCCTCCTGTCCCTGTGCGTGTCTCTGGGTGGGAGAGTTCGGTCTGCTGTTTTCAAATCTACACACTCCAAAAGCAAGGACACAGGGCTGGGCATGGTGGCGCACATCTTTAATCCCAACACTCTCGGGAGGCTGAGACAGGAAAATTGCTGTAAATTCAAGGCACAGATTTTACAGCCAAGCAGACACAATGTAAACAGCCTTATTGGCAAATCTAACCCTGAGCTGATTACTGCCTTAATCTCCAATTCCACACCTGTGAAACCCTACCTCCAAGTGGTTGTGTGAATTCCAAAGCATGCGTGTGAAACACCTACTGTATTGCATTGTAGGAAGCCGAGCTAAATGGGTCCTTATGTCTCCTGGGTCACTCCCACTCTCCCTGTCAACAAAATGGCCTTGTCAGGGTGGTTTCCACTCCCCCGCGTCTCTCAATGAGCACTCTGCCCTGTGTGGCAAGGCTGGAATGGCAGGATCCAGTGATGCCACAGTGTGCCAGCTTGCTTGGCTGTAAACGCACCCTGAAGTGAATGTGTGAGCACAGAAAAAAGGCTGCCCTGGCACTGCCCACCCTCCGCTTCTCAGGGGGCTACCGGGAACCAGCTGCCACAAAGCTGGCATGGACCAGGCAGGTAGGAGTGGGCACCAGGCAGCTGGGAATCTGAACACTGGCGGAATCCTGCCCAGCACTAAGCCAAGGACAGCACCTCCAGTGTTTCCAAAGCGTGCTGCTCCATGCCTTTGACTTTTCTCGAGGATTCTGCCACCTTCCATCAAGTTGGCCAGACTGCGGTGCTGGCCAGTCTCCTTGCACATCTTAAGTTTAGTGACCAGACAGAGTCCCCATCAGTAATGAGGCTCTGAGGAATGCAGAGGCCACAGGAAGTTCGCCTTGGGTGTACGTGACCTATTAAGACCTCTCGTTTTCAAGGGCACTCTCCTCCAGAAGTACGACAACATAAACTTCTGACTCGCTCTGGGGTTGTAGCCCTCGGTAGGTCACTTTCTGCTTTATTTAGCTGCAGTCCCTGTCATCATCTGTCTTTCTCCTTCTCTAATCCTGACCCACATAATTACCGTGGCTCCCAGCGTCCTTCCGCGGTGGCCAACCCTGAGCCCGCTTCAGGAGGAATGGCACCCCCAGGACAAACAATCAGGACAGTGTGCCAAGAAACTGAAGAACTCTTCATGCCTCAGGGCCACGGTGACACATCTGGTAGCACTTTTTTTTGAGACAGGGTTTCACTATACAGTTCAGGCTGGCCTTGAACTTACTTTGTAGCCGAGACTGGCCTCAAACTTGTGTTGATCCTCCTGCCTCAACCTCCCAAGTACTGGGATTATAGGCATGTACCACCACACTCAGGTTTTCAACTCTCTTAAATAGAACTGACAGGGGACAAAAGGAGAGGGAAAAAAACTTACAGATTAAAATAAATTAAGCCATATGTCAGTCAAAAATGATAGCATTCTTATTTGGATCCTGATTCAGGAAAACCAATTTTTTAAAAAAGAATTTATTAATGTATCAGATTACCAGGACTCATGTGTGGTGGTGCCCACCTGCAGTCCCAGCACGTGGGAGGCTGAGGCAGGAGGATAAGCCATGAGTTCCAGGCCAGCCTGGAGTACATAGTGAGATCTTGTTTTCAAAAACCAAAATGAGAAAATAAAATAAATTATCAGGAAAATTTGAATACTGACTTGATGTTTTATAGTAGTAAGAAAGTACACATGAGCTGGCCACAGAAATGCACACCTACCACCTCAGCATGCTGGGAAGCTGAGGCAGGAGAATTAAAAGTTGCTGTCCAACACCTAGGAAATTCAACTATTTAGTAAGACTCTGTCTCAGAAAAAACAAAGAAAGAAAGAAATGCTTAAGACCCTGAATTCAATCCACAGTACCATAATAAAAACAAATTACGTATATACATTTTAGGGCATGATATGTTATTGCCCTAAGGTTTTTTGTTTCTTTGTCTGTTTGAGACAGGGTCTCACTATGCAGTTCAGGCTGGCCTTGAACTCACTTGGTAGCCCAGGCTGGTCTCAAACTCACAGCAACCTCCTGCCTCAGCTTCCCGAGATGCTAGGATGACAGACATGGCCCACCATGTCTAGCTTCCTAGTTGTTTTTGAAGGAAAACTCCATCTGACCTTTTAGAGATACAAGTACTAGGCTATTTGTGGAAGAAATGATGCAGTGATTGGCTTTGCTCCAAAATAATCCAGCCCAGGAGGGGAAATAAACAGGAGAAAAGCAGGCCACAGAGGGTCATCATTATTACAGCTGGGTGAGGGGGACGTGAGGTTCTACCTTTTTTTTTTTTTTTTTTTGGTACCGGGGATTGAACTCACAACTTTGCACTTGCAAGCAGGCACTTATGCTGCTGTGCTAAATCCCTGGCCCTCTATCTTTTTTTTATGGTCTGAAATTGTCCACAATAAAAAGATTTTCTAAATCAAAAGAGGTAGCACAGGGGCTGGGGATTTAGCTCAGCGGCATAAGCGCCTGCCTTGCAAGCAGCCAGTCGTGAGTTTGATCCCCGGTACCGATAAAAACGAAAAAGATCAAAAAAAAAAAAAAAAAAAAAAAGAGGTAGCACATGTCTGTAATCCTAGCTCCCCGGGAGGCAAAAGTGCCAGGATTGCAAATTCAGTGCCAGTCTGGACTGTTTAGCAAGAATTTGTATAAAAAGTTTTTTAAAAAGAAAGAAATTTAAACATTTCAGGGACATAGTTCAGCGCTTGCTGGATCCCCAGTACTGTAATAAATAAATAATAGGGGTTTTTTTTTCCTAAAAACTTCATTTGTGTTAATAATTATAAGAAAAACTAGAGGACTATTGGTAAGATCCAGGACCAGGCTATGGGCTGTGTGACCTCAGGCCAATCGCCAAACCTCTCTGTGCCCCTAGGACCTCATTTCTAAACACAGATAGCGGAATCCTGACAATGCCCACCCCATGTTGTGACAATTACATGGGTCAACAAATGTGAAAGGCTTGGAACAGTTCCTGGCACACAGATAGGCACTGCCTTATTAATTCACCCACCTGACAGCAGAGCCTCTCCTATGCTACAGAAATTGCTCAAAACAAGGCAGAGCTGGAATCAGGATGCAGGGATGCAGGGGATCTTTTACACTCTCTCATTTCAAACTGTGTCATGCAATACGACTTTTACATTTTTTATGAAACGTGTTTTTAAACCTTCACAGGCTCTCCTTGCCCTCTGAGAGCTGCTTGGGGGCATGGTCCCTAAACCTGGGGAAGCTCCATGGGGCAATGTGGGGGGAAGGGCTCTGCTGGTGGCAGACACCCTCGGCAGAGACGAAGCCGGCAGGCAGGACTGATCAACCGGAAATGCATTCCTCAAAGTGGCAAAAAGAATGAGCACCAAGAACTTCCACCCTGTCAGTCTTGAGAGGCTGAGGCAAGAGAATCACTGCAAGTTCTAGGCCAGCCTGGGCTACACAGCAAGGCCATCATGGACCACATAACAAGATTCTGTCTCAAAAACCAAAGGCAGAAAGAAAGACAGACAGACAGACAGACAGACAGACAGACAGAGAAAACAAGCAAGCAATCAGCCAGCCTGCCCTTTGTCTAATGCTTAGGGTAGGAACGCTGCCCTCCATGTTCTGCTTCTTGGTGGGAGGTACCGTGGACGTCCAGAACAAGTACAAGGAAGGAGAAAGTTAGCCACCCCCTTGACAGCTGTGTTTGTGTGTTTGTTGGGGGCGGAGGCAAGCACACGAGCCTGAGAACCACGCAGGGTGGGCAAAGTGGAGCCAGAGCCCGACAGAGGGCTCTCCTGCGGGCGCGCCAGCGCCTCCCTCGTCCGGCCGGCTATGTTAGGCTATTTTAGGCAGCGGTGGGAAAGGGCAGAGCTGCCAGGGCCCCTGGGCACCCAGCCAACGCCTGGGAACCAGGCCTCCCTGCTGTGGCAGGGAGGCGCTGCAGAGAGGCTGCAATCCCGCCCGCAGCATGGACAGCGGACAGCGGACCGCACTGTGCGCACACCTGTCAGCCCAGCGCTGGGAGGTTGCGCCCCACAGGGAGGGCAAAGGCAGCCCTCACCAAAGTCTGAGACCCTGTCTCACAGCCACGGACGACCAAACGAGTAACAGGAAATCACACAGAGCAAAGGCCCCGTGGATACAGACTCAGTAGCTTTAAGACAAAACCCCCAGGAGACCTGGCCTACCAGAAGTCCCGCATCCACTGACCCTGACCCCTGCCTCCCTAAGGCCAGTGTCTCCTGCAGGAACTGCCCTCAAGCCGTGCTGCAGGGTTTGTGCATGGAGGGAACAAAGCAAAGGTCTCTGTGTACAGCAGATCGCCAGAAATCATCTCCCCAGCCAGGCTGTTGGCTGCCCATCCAGCAACTGATGTGTGACCAGACTGCAGCTGCACTGAGCCCTCCTCCCAGAACACACACTGCCTCCCATGATCTTGGTTCAGTCAGAAATGCTTCTTTCTCCACCCTTCTCTAGCTAGTAGACTTCTATGTATCCCTCAAAACTCAGCTGTTACCTTCTCTTTGAGGCCTTCCCAAATACCCAGGCAAAACTCAGTCTAACCCTCTGGCCTCAGACACCTACAGACTCTTAGCTGTCCAGTTCCCTCCCCTAAAGTTTGGGGCCATTTTGGGGGTTTTGTTTTTTAGTACCAGGGATCAAACTCACTAGTCACACTTATGAGGCAAGCAATTGAGCCACTGAGTTGAATACCTGGCCCAGTTTTATTTTTTGAGACAAGGTCTTGCTATGTAGCCCAGGCTGGCCTGAAAATCACAGCGATCCTCCTGCCTCCTGCCTCAGCCTCTCTAGTGGGGGATCACAGGAATGTGCCACTATGCCCAGCTGTGCTTTTTGCTTTTTGAGATAAGGTCTCACTATATCGCCTAGGCTTATCCATCTTCTTGCCTCGGCCTTTCAAGTGCTGGAATAACAGGCATGGGCCACCATGCCCAGCTCTTTTTTTGGTTTGTTTGGTTTTTGAGTTTTGTTTTTTGTCTTTTTGAGACAGGGTCTTGCTATGCAATTCAGGTCGCCTCAAGTTCACTTTGTAGCCCAGGCTGGTCTCGAACTTGCAATGATTCTCCTGCCTCAGCCTCCCGAGTGCTGGGATGACAGGTGTGCACCACCACACCCAGCTTCAAATCCCAATTCTTACTTGGTCCGTGTGCCACAAGGACCTGGTCTCTTTGCACTCTTTAACTGCAGCCTTTGCCACCAGCCCCTTCAGCTCCACCTCAGTCTAGGAGCCAAGCCTCTCGTGCCCCTTGCTCTGCTTCCTGCCAAGTGAACCGTGCTTGAAGCCCAGCTCAAAGTTCACCCCTGAAATCCTGGGAAAGCCAGGCATGGTGAAGAATTTTCTGGATGGACAGTGACAGAAAACCAGAGCAAAGCAATTCTTTCCCTACATTGCCATTACAAGCACTTAAAAGCACCTGGTGTGTGCCAGGTCCTGGATGTCATGGGAGTCCCTGGGGTTTCCAAAGCCTCCTGTAACCTCACCAGGCAGAAGCAGGAATTGTCCTTCTGTCTTGTTGGCCCTGTGTTCACCAGATAGCTAGAAGTGACCCCTGCCATGTTCAAAGAAGAAGGCAGGCCCAGCCCCCCTCTCTCCTACAGCAAATCAAAGATTGTCTGAGAGACATGCCCGGCATCACCTGCTCAGAGGCTGGGGACTGAACGGACCACCTCCAGCTGCCAGAAATGCAGTATTGATCCAGATGCCCAGAGGGATGTTTGAAAAGCAATTTTTTGAGACAAGTTCTTTATGTAGCCCAAACTGGCCTTGAACTCATCATGGTGATCCTCCTGCCTCAGCCTCCTGAATGCTGGGATTACAAGTGTGTGCTACCATGCCTGGCTTCATACTTTTCTGTGGTTGTTGTTCTTCTTCATGGCACTTTTTAAAGAGCCCCAAGTGACTCTAACATGCCACTGAGTTTGAGACACATCACCTTGAACGGCATCTATACAGCATTAAGAACAGCCCGAGCCTGTAATCCCAGGACTCGGGAGGCCAAGACAGGAGGATCACGGGTTCAAGGCCAGACTGAGCTACGCAGTGGGTTCAAGGCTAGCCTGGATTGCAAAAGAGAGATGGGATCTCAAAAAAGCAACCACAGATATAGGTAACCCTCAGAACATCCATACATGTTCCACCTGTGTAGTCGCGTGGGGCCCCTCGTGCCACACTTTACAGCGAGGGCTTTGGTTCTGGTCACCCACAACCTCCTCCAACGTCTAGCATCATTTTCCTTGTTGGCAAGTCTGCCAACTGACTTCCTCCCTGTCGTCTTCAGGGCACCCCCCTCTCTCATGCTCTTGACCCCAGGGTATAAATTAGGGGTTCATGCAGTACCATGAGTGACGCAGTTCGGGGCATACAGGAGGGCAGCTATGGGCATGAGGGGAGGCTGCACAAGGAACTGAAAATAGCTATTACCTGTGTCAGGTCACAGACTCACTGTGAAACTCTGGTCATGTCCTGGGCCTCAGTTTACCTCCCTGCAATCTAAGACGATTGAGTGATCCTTTCTTTGGGCAGGTGGAGGTGAACATGGATGTGGATGGCCCAGCTGGTGCCTTGGCTCGCAGTGCCCCTTCTTCCAGAGCTCTTTGGCCCTGCAGTGGGAAGGGAAGAGGGGACTGAATACCTTCCCTGGGCACTGACGTCCCCAAGGCCACAGTGTGAACTGGAAGACACAAGGACTGAAAAAGCCAGCGTTTGCATAGAATCTCCAGCATGGTGAATCCCCTTGGGCCTGAAGCAATGTTACTATTTGCAATGGCAGACGCAAGGCCTGGTGCCAAGATATGCACCCATAATCCCAGCAACTCAGGAGACTGAGGCAGGAGGATCAAAAAGTCAAGGCCAGCCTGAACAATTTTGCAAGATCCTGTCTCAAAATGTTATCTTATAAGGGGCTGGGGCTATAGCTCAGTGGCACAAGCACCTGCCTGCTAAGTGTAAGGTCCTGAGTTCAATACCTGACACCAAAAAATAAATAAATAAATAAAGGCTCTAAAAATGTTACTTTATGTTTGATTTTTTTGAGACAGGGTCCAGGCTGCCTTTGAACCCCCAGTGTAGCCCAGGCTGACCTCAAATTCAGCAACCCTCCTGCTTAGGCCTCCTAGGGCTGGGATTACAAGCAGGTGTCATCATACCCAACTTCTTTTTCTTTTTTCTTTTTTCTTTTTCTTTATTCTTTTTCTTTTTTTTTTTTTTTTTTTTTTTTTTGTGCCAGGGTTCAAACTCACAGCCTCAGGCTTGCCAAGCACACGTTTATGCCACTGAGCTAAATCTCTGGCCCCCATACCCAACTTCTTGACTCAAAATTTTACAAAAAATTTTAAAGACTAGAGGTGTAGTTCAGTGATGCAATGCTTGGCACGAGACCCTGGGCTCAAACCCAATGCACTAATAATAATAACAGCCAGAGACCTTGAGGGATGGAAGGCAGGTGTGTGGCCAAAGCCCACACAGGACATGTCTTCTGGCTTCTGGCCCAAACCCAGTGAGCAAGAGGGCAGCAGAGTGGCATGCAGAGCCCACTCTGGTTCTCAGGCAGGCGGAAGCGTTCAAAGTGCCAATCCGTATGCCTAAGGCTCCCACATAAAGTGTGTAAAATCACAGCCAGTCGTAGTGATGCATGCCTGAAATACCAGCACTCGGGAGACCGAGACAAGAGGATCACTGCAAGTTCGAGACCAGACTGAACTACAAAGTGAGTTCAAGGCCAGCCTGAACTGCACAGCGAGACCTTGCCTCAAAAAGAAAAAGAAAAAAAAAAAGGGTAAAATCAGCAGGAAAACTAGACTGCAAAATTCACCCCTAGGAGCGCGCGCGACCCATTCACACCAACAAGCGAACATTGAACCGCAGCGCCCCCTGGCGGATTAACGAATCGTCAGAGAGGGTATTTCCCAGGCAGAGGCTCCCAGGTGGAAACGGGATGCTGGAGGCAATGGATGGGGACGCCCCCACCCCGGGCAGCTCCCCACCTCCCGCCTGCTACACGGCGATCTGCAGCCCAGCCAGGCTCGAGAGGCAGGGAGGTCGTGGAACGTGGCCTCGGATGGTGGAAGATGGCGAGGACAGGGTTTTAAAGGGGGGGAGCCCAAGACAGAGGCGGATCCGAGGCCAAGGCTCCCAGCATAGAGGTCACCGAGGCCCAGGGTCTGCTTTCTTGGCATCGCCTGGCCAGGCCATGGCTCAGGTATCCGACACCTGGGGCCAGGAAACCCAATAGCCTTGGGCCCTGGGCTCCAGCTGCCAACTGCTACCAGCAAACGGGGCCGGGAGTGGGTGGAGAGCGGGTCTCCAGAGCGGAGAGACAGAGCAGAGGGCAGTGGCCAGCAGGACTGCCACCAAAAGGGGTGAGCCGCATGAGGGGCCGGGAGCGCGAGGGAGGACTCTAGGCTGGGCCCAAGTGCAGGCAACCAGCAAAGGGGTTTGATGGGCCCAAGAGGAGGGGCCAGAAGGATGCCTACCCCAGCACCTAGCCCAGCCAGATGCCCTGAATGCCAGCGCTGACCTGTCTGCCCCTCTCTATCTCCTTCACATGGTGCCAACCAGACCCTCTGGTGCCCACCAGGCCCAGCTGGGAGCTGCCTAGGCAGGTAGGTGGGATAGTATTTTCCTAGGGAAATCAGTCCACGAGCAGAGGTGTAAGCAGAACCAGTCCAGGTGGATCAAGAGACCTTCTGGATCAGCCTTCAGGGATCCACTGAGCCCTGGAAACTCTACCCAGAGAGCTGTGGGGCAAGAGAGAGCCTCAGGAGCAAGTGCCCATAGGGACTCCACAGAAGGACCCAGGAGGGGAGCGCAGGCAGCAGGGGTGGACACTGGCCCTTCTCATGCCATCGTCTCCCCCTCCAGATCCCATGACCCCCAGGACTATGCCAGTCTGCAGCCATGTTCTTCCCAGCTGCTTACCTACTGTCCCTCCTGCTGGTGATGGGCACAAGGGACACCGTGCTCAGCACGCAGGCTCCTCCCCGAGGCTGCTACATGGCTGAGGAAGCAGGTGAGCGGACCTTCCGCTGCAGCCAGGCGGGCCTGAGTACTGTGCCCCCAGGCATCCCCAACAACACCCGCAAGCTCTACCTGGATGCCAATCAGCTGGCGTCGGTGCCCGCCGGTGCCTTCCGGCACCTGTCCATCCTGGAGGAGCTGGACCTGTCGCACAATGTCCTCGCCCACCTCTCAGGGGCCGCCTTCCAGGGCCTGGCGGGCACACTGCGCCACCTTGACCTCTCTGCCAACCGGCTGGCCTCTGTGCCCGCAGAGGCCTTTGTGGGGCTGCAGATCCAGGTGAACCTGTCCGCCAACCCGTGGCACTGCGACTGTGCCCTGCAGGAAGTCCTCAGGCAGGTGAGGCTGGCGCCAGGCACAGGGACAGGCATTGTGTGTGGCTCCGGAGCCCGACCAGACCTCGTGGGGCAGGAGTTCCTGCTGCTGGCCAGGGAGGAAGAGCTGTGTGGCACGGGGCACGGTGGGGCCCAGCGCAGCACTGATGTGGCCCTGCTGGTCACCATGGGGGGCTGGCTGGCACTGGTGGTAGCCTACCTAGCCCACTACATGTGGCAGAACCGCGACGAGAGCCGACGTCCACTCAAACGGGCACCTGTGCTGCTGCCTGTGCGCTCAGAAGACTCATCCACCCTCAGCACAGTGCTGTAACAGCCGGGGAATCCCAGGACCCCACAGCCCTGAGCCCTTGCCTCCTTTGCCTCCTCCTCTGGCCACCCTAAAAACCCACTCTCTGTCTCTATCTCTCTCTCTCATCTTTGGCATCTGGATTTGGGGGGGCCTCCTCTGTGCCTGGATTGTGCTACACTTGGAGAACATAAAGTGTCCAAGTCCACAGTTGGGGGGAGCAGCTGGTGCAGAAGGGAAGGGCCTGGGACCAAGCTGGAGGTGAGGTTGGAAAGTAGAGGTGCCCCTAGATGGAGAAGCATGCTGCCCCCGCTCCCTGCTCTCTGCCTCTCCTGTGCCCTCTGTGGGGAGCCCTAGCTCAGGCTCCCCTACTTCCTTGGCCTCCACCCCATCCCTCTGCCATTCCCTGTGTACCTTGAGGGGTTTCCCGAGCTCGGTCCTTTGAGGAACAGTGGCCTCCTCTAAGACAGAGCTGGTGATGGGGACAGAGGAGCTGGGACCCCGGAGCACCACCGGGCACCTCAATAAAGTCCGTTTTATGGATGCTCCGATCTCTTTCTTATCTTCCTTCACTTGGACATGTGTGGCCTGGCAGTGGATGTAAACAGTAGGGATGCAGCACTCCCCAGCCTGCACCCAGCTTCCTCTCTTCTGGCCCTGCACCAGACCCTAACTGCTGGGGAAGCCAGGACCCCTGAATTATTGATGGAACTGGAAGATTCGAGCAGAAGGAGCCTGAAGCAGACTCGTGAGAGGTCAGGCCTAGGACCCAGAAGGGGGCTGGTAGTCTTTGGGGGAGCCCACAGGAGCTCAAATTGGAACCCAAGATATGAACCATTGAACCAGGACTACACCCAGCTTGGGGAAAATGGTTGTCACCTCAGGAGGGGCAGAGAGGTCTGCAGGGAGCCACTCATCTGACAGGACACCAACTGGATTCTCAGAGGGCAGAGCAGGGCAGGAAAGATGGCTTTGCTTGGAGCCCAGTTCTGGAGCCCTGGAGCCAAGGACAGATGCTCTGCCAGATCCCAAGGTCAGCAGACACGGTGAAGAGAGTGACTCGGACAGAGGTGGGGGCAGGGGAAGCAGGGCCAACACCTCAGGGACTCACCACCTCTTGACCCACCAGTGGGGACCCAGAGTCAAAACTCAGTGGGAGGAAGATGCCAGAAACTGGATTCCAGCTCAGCTCAGGCCATCACAGGAGACCAGACCAGTCCAGTCCTGGGGCCGCTGGGACCCTCCTGGCTGCCCGTCTTCCCCCACCTCACTGCCAGGAACCGGGTCTTGCAGACTCTGATCCTGAGGTGCCACTGGTCCTGTCAAGTCCGCTGAATGGCCTCCTGGACACTACTTCCTGCTGCCCTTTGGCCTGGCACTGAGGAAGAGGAGTCCCTTGGGGGGAATTCCTGTCAAGACCATCCTTCAGTGGATGCTGTGGAGTTAGGGGCAGGGCTTCCCTTTCCTGTTCTCCCCCTCCATCAGACACCACCATCTGCCTCTAGGGACCCCCTGGCCTGTCTCGCTTAGCAGTAGTCCCTGGTGAAAACGGAGTCCCAGGCCTTCCAACCCTCGCTCAAATGAGAAAGCTTGATGTCTTCCCTCCCTCCGTTTGGGTTCCCCAACACCACCACAACCAGCGGGCGGCCACCTCCCCGGCTGGGACTGTCCCAGCCCCATGCATAGCCCCCTCCGTGTGGCTGCGGGGTAGGGGGGTCCCCGCATCCAGTCCTCGCATGCTGGAAGCCCATGACCTTGCAAGGCCTTAAAAGGTTTAGAGGCATCGGTGCCAGCCAGGACCCCATTTGTGACCTTCCAGGCGCCCCTCCCACTGGGACAGGAAGCTGAAAATGTTCTCTGGGCAAGGGAGGAGACCGAGCAGCCCCCCACACTCCCCTCCTTTCATGCCACGGGACTGGAAGAGCCGGAAGCCCTCCGAAAACGAGAGGAATTCAGGGCTCTTTGTCCTTGACAGGGCCGTGGGGTGACGGTGGGTGGAACGGGGGGGGGGGGACCGAGGCTGAGTGCGTAGCTGCCCGGGCCGCACCGCAAACCGGATCCCAAGGCCCTCGTAAGGACTGGACCCCACACCCGCACCCCCATGCCCGGGCCCGCGCTGCCTCCGGGGGGGCGACTCGGGACACCAAGTGGGCACCCTCCGCATGGAGTCATAACCGGGTGGCGTGGATTGAGTCCTGGTCACCATGGGCCAGTCACCAAGGGCCTGCGGCGGCACCCCGGAAGCAGGTTCCAACCCCGGAGACTGAGGCGGCGGAAGAACTGCGGGGCCGCGGCGTGGGGCCCGGAGCAAAGCAGCCGCGGAGGAGAGGGCGCGGTGGCCGCGGGGCTCCTCGCGTGAGAGGGCGGGCAGAGAGGCGGGGCTATGGGTGGGCGGGGCTGAGGGAGGGCGGGGGCTGCAGAGGGCCCGGCGGAGGGGGTGGGGCGAATAGGCGGGCAGTGGGAGGGGAGAGGGGCGGGGCGGAAGGGCAGAAGGGCGGGGCTTCGGGCGATCCGCGAGGTGCAGACAACAGAGCAGGGCTGGATGATAACTGGCACGGGAGCGTGAGGCGGGGCTTAAAATAGATGGGGCGGGGCAAAGCTACCAAGGGTGGAGTCTTGGTGACTAAAGCAGCGAGAGGCGGAGCTTGGAACGGACGGGTTGTAAATGCCGGTGGTGACGTCAGCGCATGTAGGCGGGGTTTAGTGCAGGTGGGCGGGGTCGTCGTCTGGGGGCGGGAATAAGACCCCTGAGCCTGAAAGGGTGCTGTGTAGGGCTTGCTCCGCCTCGCTCTCACCCTTACTCCCCAGGCTTTAGCCTAGAGACAAAACCGGCCACTGCCCTGAGAAGATGTCCGCTCTTACCCAAGGACGCTTCTGCCCCAGTCTGCACTGTACATAGATAGCTCATCGTGTCCCCTCTCTGCCGGATCACGGGGCCCTGGGTCTTACCCAGCCGCTGATTCTGCTGCTGGTGCGACCTCTAGCCGCCTGCACCGGGCTGGCTGGGACACTCTCCGCCTACCAGGTCGGGTCGGCCTGGCCCAGCGGGTTAGACCCAGTGATACGAAACAGAACCCACCGCATAATTTATGGATCCCGGTGCAAAATGAAAAGCGGAGCTCTTTGTCAAAAAATATTAAACATTATCATTCAAGATACCAGCAGAGGGGACAGAGTCACCCTAAAATCGCGGCTCCTGGAGGGAGACAGCAGCCCCTAGCCTTCAGGTCTCTCTTCACCCTTGCAGAGCTGAGCCAAAAACAGCTGTGGACCTAGGCCCCAGAGATAGGACTGGTGTGGCTTTCGGGGCCACAGGACGGGCCTGGGTGCTAGCAATTCAAACAAAATTTTTTAAAAATTCTAGCAATTTTCATGTATATAATCATTTTATTATCTTTGTGTGTGTGTGTGCGTGTGTGTGTGTGTGTGTGTGTGTGTTTGAGACGGGGTGTCGCTATGCGGTTCAGGCTGCTATGAGGTTCGGGTTGGTCTTAGGCTCACTTTGTAGCCCAGGCTGGTCTCGAACTTGCAACGATCCTCCTGCCTCAGCCTCCTGAGTGCCAGGATTACAGGCGTGCACTATCACGCCTGGTGCAAAACTGCATTTGAACTCATTCAGCCCTCCCTCTCACACATACTCATGAGCCCCTAACATCTTGAGGGATTTCAGGGTCACTCTGCAGGCCCCTAACACAGATCCACAGAACTTACTTTTCCAGATTCTTTTTTTTTTTTTTTTTTTTTTTTTGTCTTTTTCCTTTTTATCGGTACCAGGGATCGAATTCACGACTGCCTGCTTACAAGACAGGTGCTTGTGCTGCTGAGCTAAATCCCCAGCCCTCTTCCAGATTCTTGATCTTTGGCCATTCCTGCTCCACTCTGGCATCAATAGGCCATTAATAGGGTATCACAGATGGAAGCAAGATGATTTTGAAGATTGAACCCAGTGCCCCATGCGTGCTAGGCAAACGCTCTATCATGGAGCTATACGCATGGTCCACTTTTTCTGATATTCTGGGACAGAATTCAGTTCTTGCTAAATTGCCAAACTTGAGATCCTTCCACCTCAGCCTCTCCAGAAGTGGGGATTACAGACATGCCCTATCATACCCAGTTAAAATTTAAATTTTTACTGCACAGGTTGGCAGTTCCCCAAATGCAAAGCATCCTGTGATCATTTTTCCCTACTATGAAGACAGAGGCTGCTGGACCAGAATTCTCCCCAGATGGACAGGCTCTTCTGCCTTCTGTCTAAACCACTCAGTGTTTTTTGGAGCCAGGGGTTGGTGACCCACACCCTGATGGGACTTTGTGGCCCTGATACACAGAAGGATACATCCTGCTGCACCCTGGAACCAAAAACCTTCTCGGGACTCTGTGCACTCTGACCTGTCCACATCTTGGAGTCTTGACCAAGAATCGCTGCCTCTCCTGACATTTTTTCCACCAAGTGTTCCCAGGCCTGGTCCAGCAATGGCTTGGGAAAGCAAGTCTGGGAGAGCAGGTGAAAATAAGAAGGAGCTTTGGCTTCTAGCTTTGCTTAGCTTCGACTGCTGCAGCTGGGATGCAGGCTCGGTATCGAGGATCTAGAGCTGAGTCCCATCGGTCACACGGAGGATAGTTCTATGCCACTGCCCCTGCCAGATCAGCAGGGGTAGGGAAGAGCTGGGTGCAGGAAGACTGGCTGACTGAGGGTCATCCCCGTGTTCCTGCTGGCACTGGCCTTCCTGCCTTGTTGGGAGCCGCGTCTGTGATAGGTCGCCTCACTTGGCGGACGTGCGGCCTGTGGTAAAGAGCAAAGCCTGGGGTAGATTACCCCTCCCATCGAATATGTTAGTTTCCTGCTTACCGCGTAAACAACCCGCTCAACAATATAGTCTGCCTGGCAACTGATGATGTTAGCCAATCAGCTTGCCTTGCTTACTTTAACATGATTGGACACTGTACCCGTATATATACCGGTGCCACCCCTGGGCGGAAGAAGAAGCCCAAAAGGAGCCGCGGAGAGCGGACCGGCAGAGGCTTTGGGGCAGACTGAAGCACAAAAGGAGCCGCGGGGAGCGGACCAGAGGAGGCTTCAGCTGGGAGAACCCAGGGCAGGCTGTACGGAGAAGGAAAATAAAAAGAAAAGGTTGTCCACTACCAGACTTTGTCGTGTGTCCTTCCTGCCGGCCGGGAGCGGACATCGACACTGCCTGGCCTGGCCTCAGGGTTAGGGGGCTGGCATGAGGGACAGTAGCACTTGAGGTCTGAGGCTGAGTTTGGTGCACTTTGAACTGAACCTCGGAGCTTAGGAACAGCTTGGGCTCCAAAGCATGTGAAGAAATTTTTAAGGAAACAACATTTTTAGGGGATTCAAAGAGAGAAAGTACGAGGGCTAGGGGTATAGGTCCATGGTAGGGTACTTGCTTAGCATGTATGAGGGCCTGGGGTTGATTCTCATCACTGGAAAGGAAGGTAGGAAGGAAGGAAAAAGAGTGAGCCAGGCATAATTCCAGCACTCTGGTAGGTGAGACAGGAGGATCTCAAAAGGGTAGTGGGTGCAGCTCAGTGCAAAGATTCTGGCTTTGCTCCTCAGTAACACAAGAAAGAAAGAGCTGAGCATGGTGGCAGACACCTGCAATCCCAGCACTAAGGAGACTGAGGCAGGAGGATCGCTGCCAGTTCAAAGCCAGCTTGGATTACTTATTGAGTTCATGGCCAGCCTGGACTATAAAGTGATGCCCACTCTCAGTAATGATGATGATCAAGGACTGGGGCTATAGCTCAGTGGCATAGCTCCTGCCGGCATGCATGAGGCCCTGAGTCTGATTCCCAGTGCACCCCCAAAAATAATGATGACCACGATGAGGAGGAGGAGGAAAAGAAGGAGCTAATGCTGTGTCCCAGTGTCCGTGTCTGTCTACAGAACAGTGTGTGGGTCAGAGGATCATCAGTGTCCCCAAAGAGCAGGTGGCTGGGCTTCTTCCCCTAATTCAGGTCTCCTCCTGAGCTCTGTCTCCTCGCAACCTGCGCAAAATACAGGCTTGGAGGCCCATCTTGGGTATCTCGTATCACTTACTTTGACTGGCTGCCAGAGGGCGATAGAGAGCAAAATCTACCAGCGCGTCCCCAGCGGGTACCCGACCACTGGCTGTCTCAGGGTTCATTGGCTTGAGTGCTAGCAGATCAGTCAAACGTACAGGTTTCCCGTGCAATCTAAATCCGGTCCCAAACTCCCCTGAACGCAAACCGGCACTCTGGGACCCTGAACCCTCTGAGCCCCGTGCTTAAAGCACCGTCAGGCAGTTTGGGAGCACCGTAAACGGGTTGGAGGCAACTCGTGGCGGCACAGGGAGGCGGACAGGTGCAAAAGTCAGAATGGATGAAGCAAGGAGAGAAAAACAGGAGCAGTTCTTGTCCTGGCCAGCCGTGGTGGCGCACACCTGTGACTCCAGCACTCAGGAGGCTGAGGCAGGAGGATCATAAATTCAAAACCAGCCTGAGAAAAAGAAAAAGTTTCTTTTTTAAAGGGCTGGCGATGTGACCTAATGGTAGAGCACTTGCTCAGATTCCATCCCCACGACCCCAAAAGTAGGTTATGGAATAGGTGGAAAAGAACCCAAGAAAACAGATAAGGGACAGAAACCAAAGAGCAGGGACAAGGTGCTGCCTTTTGTTTTAAAAAAAAATAAGAAAGAGCTACATGGGAAATGTGACCAAGGACAGAAGAGACAGCAGAGACAGTCTGGCTGAGTGGGGCACCGTCTCACCTCCCTGTTCACCGCTGCAGCGTGTGTTCCTCTGCTTTGAATCCCATGCACCCCCGTGCAGGGGCTCACATGTGTCCAGTTCCACATGGTAGCCCCACCCTACCAGGCCTTGCTTGCAAAGCCTTAATTTGTCATGCAGGACCTGCCCCAAGTGTACAAGTCCCCTCTGCCTTTTAAAAAATTTAGTTAGTTATTTAGTTTTTTTTTTGTTTTTTTTTTGTTTTTGTTTTTGTTTTTTTTTGAGACAGGGTCTCACTATGTAGTCAAGGCTGGTCTTGAACTCATCGAGATCCTCCTGCCTCAGCCTCTTGAGTGCTGGGATTACAGATGTGCACCATTGTGCTTAGCAAGCTCCCTTTTACATTCTTTCTAGGAAGAGACTAAAGATGAGCATGGGACCTGTGGGACCTGCAGTGAGACCATGACTTGGATCTTGAGCCCTCTCAAACCTGTCACACTGATCCTCTGCCTCTGTGTCTGGGCATGGGTCCATCCAGTATCCCAGGAAAGGCAGAGGTAGAGGACACTAAACATCAGAAAAAGCTGGGTGTGGTGGCCCACATCTGTAATCTCAGCACTTGGGAGGGTGAGGCAGCAGGATAACCTTGAGTACAAACCCAGTCTAGACTACATAGCAAGGCCCTATCTCGAAAAACCAACAGGCCAAGCATGGTGGCACACACCTGCCATCCCACCACTTGGGAGGCTGAGGCAGGAGGATCACTGTGAATTCAAGGCCAGCCTGGGCTACAAATGAGTCCAAGGCCAGCCTGAACTACATAGTGAGACCTTTTCTCAAAAACAAACCAAGTAAAGGCTGTCTTAGACCCTTAACATGCCCAAGAATCCCAGATGCTTCCTGGTAGATCATGAGGATGTGAGCACACACAAGCACCTGTGTACACGCACCTCAGCTCGAAATGCCTCTCTCTGTATCCCTAAAATACCCACAGGCCGACCTTCAGCCCCATCTCTCTGCGGCCCTGGCTGCTCCCACCCACGCTGCCACCTGCAGCCAGCTCTGCACCCACCCCCTCAGCCAGAAAGAGGCCAGGGCGGGCACAGCACCCTGGAACAGGTTGATGCTGTTCTCCCGGAAGACAGGGGGCAGGGACGGGTCACGGGGATGGGCGGGTCCCTGAAGGCACATCCCTCTCTCCACAGAAGCATAAATAGGCCAGCCAGGCAAAGGACAGTCACTGTGTCAACCTGCAGACAGAGTAAGCCAAGACCCTCATTAGACACCCAGCTGCCAACAGGACCCCGCATCACTCCCTGGTAAGGACTATGAGAGTTGATGAGGCAGGTGGCATTCATGGGGCCTAAGGAGACAGGTGGGGCAGAAAGGTGCGGGCTCCCTAGAATCCAGCAGCAGGCATCCTGGGGGACCCAGGGATAGGGGAAGCAAAACACTGGGCGGTCAGCAGAGCAGGAGGGATCTGTGTCTCTGCCTCCACGGGGCACTCCCGGGCCAGCTGGGGTCATCTTCTGCCCAGGGAGTAACCTGGGTGTGCCCTAGGCACCCAGCTGGAGCATCTCAGCCTGAACTTTTGGAGACAGATCTTGGGTGGTAACCCTGAGCTCCCGAAGAACACAGGACCCTCTCGCCGCACTGTCCCAGGGCTGCCTTTATCCCCTGGGCCCCTTCTGTGCTTATCTGCTGGACTCCACCTGTTTTGGGCACCATGCTTGGTGCTGAGGCTGCAGAGGTGACTAAGCCCCATTTCCTGCCCTCGGGGAAGTCACAGTCGTGGGTGAGAGTCAGGTGCAACAGATCATAGCAATCAGGGATGGCAGGTGGCATCCGGGTGCCGGGAAGAGGCAGGAAGGGTCATCAGAAGTGGCCTGAATTGAGTTGGGTTTTTTTGTTTTTCCTGGTTTTCTGAGATGGGATCTTGATGTGTAGTTTAAGCAGTCTTGGGCTCACCTTGCAGCTCAGGCTGGCCTCAAACTCACAGTGATTCCCCTGCCTCAGCCTCTGAGATTACAGGCCTACATAACCAAGCCCAGTTCATATGAGTTTTTGAGCCCAAGTTTCATCACAAAATGAAGATTTCCCAGCAGCCACTCCGACAGTCTCCATCTCCCTCCCCACAGTGACAATGACCATGTTTGAAAATGTCACCCGGGCCCTGACCAGACAGCTGAACCCCCGAGGGGACCTGACAGCCCTGGACAGCCTCATTGATTTCAAGCGCTTCCACCCGTTCTGCCTGGTGCTGAGGAAGAGGAAGAGCACGCTGTTCTGGGGGGCACGCTATGTGCACACCGACTACACCCTCCTGGACGTGCTGGAGCCCGGCCACTCGCCCTCGGGTCAGCCTGCGTGGGGGCTGGGTTTGGGGCCGGGTGTCATCTGGCCCACTGTGGCCGCCAGGGACTGAGTGGTGAAGGAACCAGGGACACACATGGGTGTGTCCAGCGCCCCAATCTCTTCCTCCTGCAGACCCAACGGACTCGGGCAGCTTCAGCTTTAAGAACATGCTGGACGCACGTGTGGAGGGGGAGGTGGACGTGCCCAGGACGGTAAAGGTCAAGGGCACAGCTGGGCTGTCTCGGAACAGCACACTGGAGGTCCAGACCCTCAGCGTAGCCCCCAAGGCCCTGGAGTCCCTGCACAAGGAGAGGTGAGCTCACACAACACCAAGACCCTGTCCCAAAAAAACACACAAAATCAATCGGTCAAATCCAAGGTGAGAGGTGGTAAGTGGCACAGATACAGTGTGGCTCAGTTGGTGGCAGGTCAGAGGGACTTCGGGCTGAGACAGGGAGGAAAGACCTCACGGGTGGCAGCTGGTGACCTACGCTTGGAGATGAGGAGAAATGGGATGGGAGGGGCTGGGATACAGCTCAGCAGCACAGTGCCTGCCGGCAGGTGCAAATGAGTTCGGTCCCCAGTACCAAAAAAAAAAAAGGCCAAGATCAGAAATGGCACATGGGGAATCAGCGAAGGGCATTAGCAAGGCTCCAAGGAGAGACATGCACCACTGGGCAGTGGGCATTTAACAAGGGGAACCACAGGGTGATGTAGGGCAGGCCTGGTGCACCCTGCAGGGGCCCAGTGCAGGCATAGGGTCACCAATGAGATAACCCTCTGGGACACCTGGGGGAGGTGCACTCAAGGGAAGGGGACCTCAAAACACAGTCCCACACCCTTGGAGATGTACGAAGAGCTGGAAGGACAGCTGGAATAAAAGGGGGACAGATGCAGGGCCCGCTGCCAAGGGCAGCGCAGACTCCATTTAGCTGCTGATGCCTGGAGGGGCGAAGGCTGTGGAAGATGACTTCAGTTTTGACCCAGATGGTGCCACAGGGGAAGGGAAGAGATAGGGTGGTAATGTGAGGGTCAAAGAGAGGCTGGGTCAGGCTCAGGGATGCAAAGAGAGCAAAGAGAAGGAGCCAGTGCTGAGGAACTGGGCAGGAGCAGGGGCAGGGGAGGACCCCCAGAAGAGACAGACATGGAGAGGAGAGGGGAAGCCAGAAGGAAGCAGCTGGGAGGCCCGAGCTGACCAGGGCAGTGCCGGTGATGACCATTTCTCTCCGAGCCCTGGAGGGAGGTGTCTGTGCCCTCGATTTGCCCATGTGGCAACTCAGAAGCTGCCCCCCAGGAAGTCCAGCTCTGGGGAGTGAGGGCCGGGGAGCCAAGGGCCTGGGGGATTCGGGAGCTCTGGACAGCCCCCTGTGGCTCCTATCCCAGGAAGCTGGCCGCAGACCACCCGTTTCTGAAGGAGATGCGGGAGCGCGGCGAGAACCTGTACGTGGTGATGGAGGTGGTGGAGACGGTACAGGAGGTCACGCTGGAGAGAGCGGGCAAGGCAGAGGGCTGCTTCTCCCTACCATTCTTCGCCCCGCTGGGGCTGCAGGTTCGGTTCCCTCGAATCCCCAAGCTACAGCAGAGGGTGCCTGGCTTGCCAAGTTCTCAGGTTCAGAGACTGGACATGGAGGTTAAAGCCCACACCACCAGGCCTTGGAAACTGCTGACTCAGGGTTCCACACCTAAGCCCCGGAAGGGAGGATCTGGAGCCTGGGGAAGGCTGAGTCATGGAGGGCTTCCTGGAGGCGGTGAACTGGGACAGCTGGCCAAGAGAAAGAAGGAGCCTGTCTCTGGGAGATGGGAGCTGGGGCAGAGTGGCCCCAGGCAGGGGAGGAGGAGCAGGTCTGCCCAGTTCTCTTCTCAGGTCCCATGGAGGAAGACCAGTGCCTGAGAGGAGGTCACTGGAAAAGAGTAGCCAGGCTCCAAGCCCAGCAGAAAGTCAATGCAGGGTTTCTCACTTCCTGTTTCCCCAAAGGCACTCAAGCCTGGCCCCTCCCCACCTCTTCCCCCTGAGTCTCATATGAGGGTTTCTACAGATTCGCAAATCCTGGTCATGTCCCCCTAGGGCTCCGTCAACCACTCAGAGGCTGTCACTCTCCCCAAGGGCTGTGTCCTGGCCTTTCGCGTGAGGCAGCTGATGGTCAATGGCAGAGACGAGTGGGGTGAGAGAGACCACTGTGCCCCCCCCCCAATATGGAGGTGTGGAGGGGTGGAGGGGCTACAGGGCACCTGTGGGGGGGGCAGGGCGGGGAGACCAGAGTGGGCAGCCCCAGCCCCTATGGTCAGGTCAGGTGTGGGGTGAGGGGCTTGGCCAGGGCCCCCAGAGGCTGGGCGATGCTAAGTGGGGCTCCTGGTCTCCCTGCCACAGACATCCCGCACCTCTGCAACAGTGACATGCAGACCTTCCAGCCTGGAGGTAAGAGAAGGCCCTTACTGGCTGCCTGGAGTCCCGCCCACTAGCACCAGGGTCTATGGGGACCCCCAAAAAGCCTCTCATTTCTGTTTCCCAAGTCCCTGAGAACGTCTGTCCTCAACTTTAGGAAAGACAGACAGAGATAGAGAAATCCTGCCCGAAAAAGACAGACAGAGAAAGACAGGGACAACGGGAAGCAGAAAGAAGATGAGGGGGCAGGGTGTGTCCCCAAGTCCTGCGGCTGGCCGGGCCAGTGGCAGCCCTGTGTGCCTTTATGATGATCCTCAGGGAAGCTGTCTTAGTCAAAAAGGCAGGGACAACTGGGCATGGGGATGCACCCAGCCCATTATATCAGCACTCAGGAGGCTGAGGCAGGAGGAATGCGCTGATTTCAAGACCAGGCTGAGCTACATAGTGAGACCTTGTCTCCAAAAAAAAACCAAAACTAAACGAAAAGAAAGGGAGCAGAAATCAGTTCCACGCTGACGGATGTGTGTTATTTCTGTCTTCAGAAAAGCTGGGAGAGGAGAAGTTCACGGGTAAGTGTTCCTGTCCTCCCGCTACGACTTTCTCCGCTCCGGTTTAAAACTCCGATCTTCCCTCTCTGGTGTGTGGGACAGACAGGGAAGGTGACAAAGCAGGTCCCTAACGCATGGCTTAGGAGAAAGCAGCTAAGTGGGAGATCCTGGGACAAGATGTCCAGGCGGTCTGACGCCTCAGACCTTTGTCCCCAGGGCCACATCGTCTGCCGCTCTGCCACCCTGCAGCTGGGGTGGGAGCCACTGAATCATGGTGACACCAACTCAGTCTGGGTGCCGCGTTCCCGTCCGATTAGCCCTAACCTCCCTTCATTCCTGCCTCCTGGAAATGGGGCACAAGGAGTGAGATGGCTGTGACCTATCCGGTCCCTGCCCCCAGGATGCCACCACCCTGAAGGCCCTATGCTTATGGTTTCTTCTCTTATTTTCTCAGTTATCCAGGCATCTGAGGTCAGTAAGGAATTTTATGAGTTTCTTCTAAGACTTTGGCACAAAAGTGGCAGAGGTAGAGGAGGTGGAGGGAGGGGACAGAAAGGTCCCAGGCATTGGCATTACTTCTGGGGAGCCAGGAGGATGACCTGGCCTGAGGGCACCACTTCCATAGAAGGCCGCCTCTGGGCCACGCTGACCCTGGGTACAGGCCTGCTGCTCTCGCAGTCACCAAAGTCGTTCTCCTGTGTCAGTGGACTCAGGAAGAGGGACAGAGATCTTCCCTCTCAACCGTCACTGGAGTCTTTGATGTCAAAGCCAGGTGGAGGGGTGCTTGCCTGTCATCTCAGTGCTCGAGAGGCTGCGGCAGTACGATGGGAGGCTGAGGCAGGAGGATCGTAGGGAGTCTGAGACCATGTAATGGAGGCCCTCTCTCAAAAATCAGGAACAACAGAGAAAAGGTCGCGCTCGAAGTGGGCAGGGCATAGGGTTCTGGGGGGCTAAGTAGGGGAGGCTCAGGGGAAGGACTGGCTGCCACATCTCCTGTCCCCATAGGGGAAGTGCATGAGGACTTCATGGCCCTGAAAGAAGAGGTCCAGAGGGAGACCCAGGAGGTGGGCAAGCTGAGCCGGGTGGGCCAGGGCTCCCTGCTCAGTGCCCTCAGCAACCTTCTGGGCAAAAAGAAGGAGCTACAGGACCTGGAGCTCGAGGTGAGTGCCCAAGTCCCCGAGAGAGCCAGAAGGTGGGGGACAAGTGGGGTCCTGCTGGCAGCAGGGCATGGGAGCTGGTGGCCAATGGCCAGGAGAGCAGATAGTGGGCTCCAGCCCAGAGCTGGCCCCACTGTCCCTGTGCCCTGGCAAAGGACATGAAGTACACGTTCCTTGGGGCACCTGCTCCTCTGAAGGGCAGAGGCTGGGTACCCCACCCAGAAGGGGCCTCTGTCAGGAAACAGCTAGAAGGTCTAGCTGTTTGCAGGTCTAAGTGAAGGCCAGGGACCAAGGAACCCAGGAGCCTAAAACTTTCAAAAGAAAGGGGTCGGGCACACTTATAATCCCAGGGCCCGGGAGGCTGAGGCAGAAGGATCACTGGGAGTTTGAGGCCAGCATGGACTCCATAGTGAGTTCGAGGCCAGCCTGAACTTACAGAGTGAGACACTGTCTGAAAAATAAACAAAAGTGAAAGAGTGAAATGGGAAGGAGTCACCACGCGCTAAGGAACTCCGAGGTACCAGGACCATGGCAGCCCTCCACTCAAGGCATTTTAAACACCCACCTTCCTCCACAGCTGGAGGGGGCTCTCGACAAGGGACACAAAGTCACCCTGGAGGCACTCCCGAAAGATGTCCCACTGTCAAAGGAGTCCATGGGCGCCATCCTCTATTTCCTTGGAGCCCTAACAGGTCAGTGGGGCACGGGTCTTTACTCCTCCAGTGATAGGAATGAGTCCCTTGAGTAACTGAGTGGGTGAATGCCAGATAAATTCCACTACAGTGCGGAAGTTTACATTAAAATGCAGGGAGGGCTGCCGCACACCTGTCAGCATGGCGCTCGGGAGGCTGAGGCAGGAGGATCACTGTGGATTCGAGGCCAGCCTAGGCTACATAGGGAGGCCCTGTCTCATAAGGAAAAAATTAAAAATAAAATCTTAGTCGCGCTGGGTGACCTGTGACGCCAGCCTTGCTAAGGGTGGGACAGGACCCTGGATGCAGGGCCACATCTTTGACTCTTCAGCACGCAGCAGAGCTCCTCCGCTCCCCTCGGAGCCCACCTGCCAGCTGTAACGTGGGAGGGCAGCGACTGCTCCCACCCCTGCATCCCCTCCTGCCCTGGTCTGCACGGCCGTTCTCCAACTTGGAACGGTTCATTCCCTGTGAAGGCTGCGCCCCAGGGCCAGGGCGCAGCGCCCCCTCTGCTTTACCCGCTTCACGTCCGGGGCTGTGATTCCATGCAGCTCTCTTCTCCGTCCGGGAGGAGCGCACGGGTTTCACTCAACACTCGGCAGAGCTGCGCGTAGAGCAGGCCTTAAGCCGTGCATGAACGGATGGACGGATGGCAGGACGGATGGACAGACTGATGGATGGATCAGCTGAGTAGCGTGACTAGACTCCGGAAGTGTGCGCTGCTTGGGATCCGGAGTCTCCTCTACACTCGCAACACCCATGTCTTTCTCTGCTTCTTGTCTCCAGTGCTAAGTGAAGCCCAACAGAAGCTTCTGGTAAAATCCATGGAGAAAAAGATCCTCCCGGTGCAGTTGAGGCTGGTGAGAAACACAGCATTTGCCAAGGAGAGTTGGGAGGGAACCAGAAGGTGCCCCTGTGGCCCGGGGACCATGTCCCAGAGCGCCTGTGCCCCATCCAGCTCACAGCCTCTCTCTTTTCTCTCTGTATTTCTTCCTTTACGCTATTTCACAACAGGGGGCGGGAGGGTGGATTTCTGGCTATAATCTGGGTTTATCACCTTGCTCTTGGGAGACAAGACAGAAAACTCTGGCTTTGGGAATCCTTAATGTCTCTGAGTCTGCCTCGATTTATTCCTCGTAATAGAGTTAAAAATAAATGTACTCACATACTATTCCAGCACTTGGGAGGCTGAGGCAGAAGGTTCCCTGCAAGTTCAAGACCAGCTAGGGATACAGAGTGAATTCAAGTCCAGCCTGGACTGTGTAGCAAGACTCTATCTTGATAGATAAATAGATAAGATAGGTAGGTAGATAGATAGATGCCTAACTAGCTGGCTCAATAGCTCTCTTTGTAGGGCAGATGAAATCAAAGCATCAGTAAAACGCCTCTATGAGGGGGCTGTAGCCTGATCTACACCCAGCAGGAAAGAAGAGTCTTTGGAATCTTTTTCATGCTGTCTCGGTTCCTTGCAGGTGGAAAGCACGCTGGAGCAGAATTTCCTGCAGGAGAAAGAGGCTGTTTACCCGCTGTCCCCCGAGCTGCTCTCCTCCCTTGGGGAAGAAGAACTGACCCTCACGGAAGCCCTCGTGGGGCTCAGCGGCCTGGAGGTGCAGAGATGTGGCCCCCAGTACACGTGGGACCCGGACACCCTGCCCCGACTCTGTGCCCTTTATGCCGGCCTCTCCCTCCTTCAGCTCCTGGCCTGTTCCCCTTAGTGTCCCTTTTCTGGCTGCTTCCAGCTTCCCGAGCCAGGACCTTAACATCCCAGGGCGTTTTAGAACCACCAGGTCGAAGACCCCCAAATCCTACCTATCCACCCACCGTAACAACTTCTGCCCCCCCCCCCAGTCCTCCAGCTCCCCACTCCCAAGCCCATGGGCTGAGGTTAAATCCTGTAGAAGTAGAAGTGCTTGGCCTTTATAAATTGTGAGCTCTTTCAGCAAAACTGGAAAAAATGTATTTCCTATCCTAACTCTCTCCACTTACATTTCTAAAACACAAGCATTGGAGGAATTAATGGAAAATATGTCAGTCTTAGAATGCCATGGCTTTGGGTATATTTCTTTGAACAATTTATTATATGGAAATTCTGACTTGGGCCAGAAGAAGAAAGCAACACTCTTAGACCCTATGGATCATCTGAACAGACTGCTACTCTGAAGTCCTCAGACCAGCCAGAAAACACTGAGGAGCTCCCGGGTGTGGGATATGAAGTCCAGATTCTAAAGTGGCAAGATCATCAAAGCCACCACCTTCAAAGAGTCTCTGGCGTCCTCTAGCTCCAGGCTGAAGGCTTGGGGAAGGAAAGATCTAGACAGAGATACAGGGTACAGTCAAAACAAAAAGACTACTTTTAAGAAAACGCAGGTGAGGCTGGGAATTTAGCTCCATGGCACAGTGCCTGCCTGGCAAGAGCGAGGTCTTGAGTTTGATTCCTGGTACAAAATAAAAACAAAATACTGATGAGTCTTTTTTTAAAATGGGATCTAAAGGCTGGGGATATAGCTCAGTGGCATAAGCACTTGCCTGGCAAGTGCAAGGTTGTGAGTTTAATTCCCAGTAACCCCCTCCCCCCCAAAAAAAATCTAAGAATAAGATTAACCCAAAATTTTTTTTTCTTGGAGACAGGGTCTCACTATGCAGCTCAGGCTGCCCTTGATCTCACTATTTATGTAGCCCAGGCTTTCCCAGAACTCACAGCAGTCCTGCTTCAGCCTCCCAAATGCTGAGGTTACAAGCCTGTGCCATCAGGCCTGGTTCCAAAGTTTTTTTGAATTGTCATATTATCTTCTTGTGTTTCTCTGTCTTCTGCCTTCAATTTAGGAAGACAACAGTATCGTGGGCTGCCTGTGAACCTGCTAATCTGTGTGTCGAAAGTCTCCTCAAAGCTCCGTCTGAGTTTGTGGCATACTCTGCCTAGAGCTCAGTTTGAGTATCTTTCTCCAATTTCTTTTAAAGTGTTTTTTTTTTCAAATCCACTTTATTTCAAAGAGATAAAGTGGTTTTCTAGGTAGAAAAATTCTGCAAGTCTTTTGGCTCTGGGCTGCAGCCTCTTCTGAGTCCTGAGGCAGCCCAGACCTGGGCTCACACCCCATGACCACTGCCAAAGGCTTTGGGCTCCATCAGCCTCCTGGAGCCTGGTCACCTTCCAAAGCCTCCCTGCATTGCTGCTGGGCTGCTGACCTGCTTATCCGCCCTTCTGATGTTAAGTTTAAGAGACAATGAGCTAAGCCCCTAAGCATGCAGCCAGATGACTCCAGCCACTGTTAGGTCTGAACAACAAACCTCATCTCACCCGCCTCTGCCACTGCAGACACGGCTGGCAGAGAAGACACTGGAAGTTTATTCCTCGGATGAGTCAAAGGCCTGGGAGCCACCCAGCCCAGGTGGGTGGGCAAGAAGACAGCTGGGGAGGATTTGGTCATGATATGTTCCCCAATGCTGGAGCACACACTCTGCCACTTGGCCCCATTTAAAGCAGGGGATTATTTGCTGCAAGAGGACAAAGAGAAGGGTCTAAAGACACAGGGCACAGCGTGCACCTGTCTCACAGACATACATAAAGGAGAATGCATCAAAACATTTTCTGCCCCTCAAGTCCCTATTCCTTGAAGGTCCAAACCTCAGGACTTCCACCTATGGAAGAATCACATTTCCAAGACAGTGTGAATTTTTGTCTTGTATTTTAAACTTTTAGCTACCTTGTGGAATCACTGGGAAGTTGCTTTTTTTTTTTTTTTTTTTTTTTTTTTGAGACATGGTCGTGCTAAGTTGCCCAGGTTGTACTCAAATTTGCAATCCTCCTGCCTCAGCCTCTCAGACTTGTGTGACAGGCACACTTTCCTATGGCCCAGTTGACAAGTCCTTTGAAAATTGAGCTGGCAGCATTTCTGGTCCCATTTCCTGTCCCTTGTGTAAACTATGTGGTAACCATTACACTGCTCCCCATTTCACAGCGGTTGGTCTGAAGGTATAAAGATTCCCTCAAAGGGTTCCCAGCAGCCTCAGCTAGTAGGGGCTTCCACCCTCTTTCCTTCGACCTCCCACTACCCCGAAGCACTGACTGAATTCAAATGAGTTATGTGGCATCTGTACCCTTGCCAAGAGCTGGCTAGCCCTGGACCATAAATCCCTGGGTTTGTATAGTTGTTTTGTTCTTTTTTTTTATTTTTTGAAACAAGATCTTGCGATGTAGCCCAGGCTGGCCTCAAACTTGTGGCAATCCTCCTGTTTCAGCCTCCAGAGTGCTGGAATTATAGACCTATGCCACACTGGGCCAGAAACCCTTTATTTATTTATTCATTTATTTATTTATTTATTATTTATTTATTTATTTATTTGATTGATTGATTGATTGATTGATTTCAGGTCTTTGAGACCAGAATCTTGCTATGTAGTACAAGCTGATCTGGAACTCACTATGGAGCCCAGGCTGTCCTCAAACTCAGAGCAATCCTCCTGCCTCAACTTCCCCAGTACTGGGATGACAGGCGTGGGACAGCACACCCGGCCCATTTTTATTAAACTGCAGCGATCGTACACAAACGCTGTCTTCCCCATGTTCCCAGCACGGAGAGATACTATGCATTATTCGCGGCACTAAACTCAAACCTAACTTTGAAAGTCCGGGTGGATGCCCCGGGGTTCCTCCCACTGTCCAGCTCCCTTCATTTAAAACCCAATAGCTTGGCTGCACGTCCCTCCTCTTCAGCGCTGTCTTCCCTCGCCCTGGGTGCACCAAGGGGCGAGCCAGGCAGATCTCCAAGGGGACCCAGTCAGGGGCAAATTAGGTACACGTACGTGCAAAAGCTGCCCCACAACTGTTGACGTCAACCTTCCCCGCGCTCCGATAGGTCCTACCCACTCCAAATTCTTTGAGGTGCTGTTACAGTCCGTTGTAGCCCAGGTTGAAGACTAAAGGGACCTCCCGTGCACATTCACAGAAATGTACCCAAGAGAAAGATAAAAGGAAAGCGCCACACTTTTAAGTGCTTCAAAAGAAAGCCCCAGTGGCACAACCAGACTCCTCCCAGCTGAAGATCCGCTTCCATCCTGCATCTCGGCTGTTGATTTGTTTCCCCTTCCCGACTCGGCCGGCGGCCCGCCTGGCCTGGCGTTTCCCAGAAGGCCCCGCGCTGCAAAAGGGTTTGCAGCTGCTCCGTCATCGTGTAGCCCGCCGCGAGCCCGCGCTCGTGTGAAGGCCCGGCTCGGTTTCTGGTCCCCGGTGGGAGGCTTCACGCGAGGCCCCGGCCTCGGTCCGCGGACTAGGCCGCGACTCCGGGCACCATGAAGCAGGAGGGTTCGGCGCGGCGCCGCGGCGCGGACAAGGCGAAGCCGCCGCCCGGCGGAGGAGAACCCGAGCCGCCCCCGCCTCCGGCCCCCCAGGACGTGGAGATGAAAGAGGAGGCGGCGGGCGGTAGCGGGGCCCCCGGGGAGGCCGACGGAAAGGCAGCGGCGACGACAGCTGAGCACTCCCAGCGGGAGCTGGACACCGTCACCTTGGAGGGTACGGGAGCGCAGGGCAGAAGCGCGCCGCGATCTCGGGTGACAGCGACCCCGGGGATGCAGCTTAGCGCGGCCGCACCGGCCCGCTTCCTCGGGCTGGGTCCTAGGCCTGGGTCGCAGGTGTTTGCCCCGTTAGTCCGACACCCGACCCCAGCCCGTGACCGCTCCGACCGCCCCGGCTGGGTTGGACCTTGGGTTCGCTGGGCCCGGGCGCTGCCCCTTCCAAGTCCTCTCCTCCAACCTCGGGCCCATACCTGCGCCTGGCCGGGTCGAGCCTGCGTCTCTTCCTCTGGGCGCCAGTTCCGTTTCCAGGTCCGCTTGTTCCTCTTGGTTTTATTTTTCCCACTTAGAGTAGCCTTCCCCGTGTGGAGTGGGCAAAGCGAGCGCTTTCCGCCCGGGGCTTTGTTCTGGGTTCTCGATCAGTGGGACCAGACTGCGCGCTGGGTTTTCTCCCAGCTGTGAGAAGCCACCCAAACAATATTGAGATAAGCGAAGTTACGCTCCTAGTGGAGCTTTCCAGGCTGCGATAGCTGAGACCAGAGCTGCTACTCTCATGTCGGACGGCAGGAGCGGTGTTAGGGTCCTGTTACCTAAAATAATAATAGTGGCAAAGGTGCATTTCTCGTGTGTGTGTGTGTGTGTGTGTGTGTGTGTGTGTGTGTGCGTGCGTGTGCGTGTGTGTGCACATATATATATTCCCCTTGTCTCTTGGCTATATCTAAAAACCCATGTACAGAAACCATGAATACCGTGCCCCTCTTTTTTGATTCCTTATTCCTTTTCCTTTTATTTCTTTTTTCTTCTGAGATAGAGCTTCATTGTATAGCCCAGGCTGGCCTCAAACCTGGGGCAACCCTCCTGCCTCAGCCTCTTGAGTGCTGGGATTACAGACCAGTGCCACTGCCCCAGCAATAACAGTCTCTCTTCGAACTGCCAGCTAGAAGTGATGAAGGACCAGCAGTGGGAAGTAACAGTGCCTTTTTCCTCTGGGCCCTGCAGACATCAAGGAGCACGTGAAACAGCTGGAGAAAGCCGTTTCCGGCAAGGAGCCGAGATTCGTGCTGCGGGCCCTGCGGATGCTGCCTTCCACGTCACGCCGCCTCAACCACTACGTTCTCTATAAGGCCGTGCATGGCTTCTTCACCTCCAACAACACCACTCGTGACTTCTTGCTGGCCTTCCTAGAAGAGGTGAGTGGCTCCAGTTGCACACTTCAGGGCAGATTGGATTTGTCTAAGTCCTGCTGTCATTTCCCTCCCGTCCCGTGAGTAGAGACACTTGAGCAGTCTGTTCTTTCTCTTGTGCTGTGGCTTGTTTTTGTTTTTTTGAGACAGAGTCTCACTATTTTGTACAGACTAGCCTTGTACTCACTATGTGGCCCAAACTGGCCTTGAACTCTCAGTGATTCTCCTGCCTCAGCCGCCTGATTGCTGGGATAACATGCATGGGCCACCACACCTACCCCTAACAAAGCATTGTAACACCTGGCCAGTAAACGGGACTGGCGGGACCCTCCTGTCCAAGCTCATTTCCCAGTACCCTCACTGCCAGCCTTGTCCTCCAGTTGGTGTAACATTGCCGTTGTCCTAGGAAGAAGCTTCACTATGCAGAAAGATAGAACAGGCTCAGAGTGTGGGTTTTGCAGCTTGAGTTGAACTTCTTGTTTGTTTTCTTTTGTACTAGGAATTGAACTCATAACCTGGTGATTGCCAGGCAGATGCTGTGCCACTGAGCTACATCCCTGCTAGAGCTAAACTTAAATCCACATGCTACCAGGGAGCTCTGTGGGGCCTGGGGAGTGACTTAACTAATGTCCTGTGCTTTGTGTTACTCATTTGTGGGGTGTGGTGAAGGGATGGGAGACGGAGGAGTGTGCCAGCACCCTGGCAGAGTGGGTTGGGTTGCAGTGGTGTCCTTTGTCCTGGGAGATCTCATTCTCCTGCAGTGTGAAACCCGCTCATGCACTGTGTATCTCAGGCC